TGGGAAGGTGAAGGCCGAGGTCATCCCCGACGAGCTGCGCGTCGCCAACCGAGAGGCTTGGTCAGACATGTTCCGTGATGCGGCAACTCAATCATTCATCGTCAAGGACGTGAACTCCGGTGTCGACCTTGCCAAGATGAGTGAACGCACCGATGCGCTGGCTCTCGCCAAGAATGCTATGTCATCGTTGACAGGTGCTGCGGGTGTTCTCAAAGAGGCTCCGGTTGAGGCTTTCGATATCCTCTTCTGCCCGGGGAAACCCGCGGTCAACTATCTGTTTTTCGGCGACTCCTTCAACGCATTGGTCAAAGATGGAGCAAAGACAGATGTTGGCACCATCATCAAGGAAAACAAGCGGACGCTGTTTGGGCACAAGCACGAGGTCTGGTCCGAAATGACATGGGGCAAAGGACTGGCGGAATCTCTTGATGCCGCTGAGCGGGCAATGCTAAAGCTCGCCGAAAGGCCCGAGCCCCGGCCGTACGTCATCGTGATCTCCTGGTCTGGAAATGATGTCATTGGGCGCAACGGGTACATCGAAAACCCCGCCGCCCTAGCGGGCTGGGCCACTGACTCCGAGGCAAAGCGCAAGGCTGCGATGGACATCATCGAACGGAACGCCCGCGCAGTGATGACTGTCCGTGACCGGCTGCGGCATATTGCTTATCGGGAGGACGTGATTCAGGTCGTGCTCATCGTACCCCGGGACTTTGAGACGTACGGATTGAGCGAATCTTACAAGACTCAAATGGACGGTCATGCACGTCTGTTGCACGGTTCCGTGGGAATCACCGTCCTCGACCCCCAGACTCTCATATCCAACACGTCCCGGGCAGACCGCATCCACACCGATGACACCGAGCGCAACAGAAAACATTACATCAACTTCTATGTGGCCGCCGCGAAGCTCGGGTACTGCATCGGCCAAATCAACCGCTTCGCAGGGGCTATGAACTGGTACCTCCTCGAAAGGGAATACATGAACATCGACACATCTATTCCCATCGTCGGTGCCACACCCCAGGAAACTGGCGGTCCGGCTGTTGCGAAGAACCCCGAGGACCCGTTCGACAACGAGGTCCGCGAGAGGGAGCTTGAAGCAATCAATGAGATTGCTGCGCAAGAGCCGAAGCGCGAACTGTTCCTGGAAGCCGAGAAGGAAGCGAATCCTCTTTATCCTCTCGATACGGTCAAGGAAGAGGCGAAGATTTTGCAAATGATGCAGCCCGACATCCACGCGGCGACCGTCAGCGGCCTCAATGACGTTATTGATTGGTCCTCATCGTCCGATGAGGAGGACTTAATCAGCTTTGACCTGCCCCCGGGCTCTCAGCCCAAGGTCAGCCGGCCGAAAGGCCAGGCCGTTGAGGTTGCCGCAGTGGATCCGAACGACGTCGGCGAGGACGGCCAGATCAAGCTGTTCCTCACTTCCAAACGGAAAAGTCATAACAAAATGACTGCAGCTCTCAGTGCTGCGACGCCAAAGGTGAAATCAAAGGCGATGCCAATGCCTGCTGCCTCATCCAGCGGTCAGGCGCCCGTGGCTGGGACTGGCAAGACTCAGCCCGGAGAGATCCGTGGCCCGGAGAACATCCCCAAGGCGAAGGCAGTTCCCAAAGCTGCTTCAAAGCCCGGGGAGACCCGTGGCCAGGCTGCTGAACCCAAGAGGGAGTGGATCAAGTGCTCAGGAATCAAGATTCCCCAGATCCAGAACTATGGCAGAAGGACGTTCCTGAGCAAGAAGGTGTCGTATTTGGTTCGCGGACATGCCCACGAACATGCGACACGGTCCATCCCTGAGATCAATCTCAAGGACAACTCCTTCGACTATGCAGCCGTTGCCAAGTGGATCCAGCGCCGATATGACTGGAACTGCTCCCAATACACTCTGCTTCAGGCCACGTCCACATCGAATCGGTTCGAGGTCTATGTCGAGTACGCGCCGGCCGGACAGCAATGGAACGGGCTCAGTTTCATGCCCCTACGCATTCGCGCGTTCACCGGCCACAACGATTGGGTGACTGAGGCCAGTGGCTTTGACAACATTCCTGGAGATCCCATTGCAATGGATGTCAACTACTCCATCGAGCACGCAAAGAAGGGTGTGCGACCGGGCTTCTGCAAAGATTTCTCGGACGCACGCCGAAAGGCGCTGCCCAAGATCGCCTACCACACGTGCAACATGCAGAACTTCTTTGACATCATCTACATGGGCATCTTTCCGGGCGGCATGGGGGACCGGCAAACCTCGCGTGGTCACGCCTACCTAACGGTGGTGCCTCCTTGGGACAGGCATGGCCGGAAGGCGGGGGGTGCGCGTGCTGACCGACCCATCAACATCGCCGTCGATGTGGAGATGTTGATTCAATTGGGGTGTCGGCTGTACGCACCCGGAGACGGGGAAGCCCTGGTGACGGAGGATTGGATCACGAACAAGGTCCTCATCTACGCCTACGACGCTGAATGTGCCAAGTTTATCTGGTCCAACCGGATGTACGTCAGCGTCAGGCGGAACTACCAGGAGAGCATCAAGAAGTACCGAGAAGAGACCCAGAAAGGCGTCGTCGGTACCCCGGTGCTGGAGTCCTTCATGGCCAACCTCGAGAAGGAATGCAAGGCCTACTACAAGCAATGGGCTCCAACGGCGTGCCGTGACTTGACTCGGCCCCATCGCATCGGCAACATCACGAAAGTCAAGAATGTCTTCGATGAAAATCTTCCGAAGGACGAGCAAGTCATGCTTGAGTTCGAGACGGCTCGCTACGGCCTCTACCGTAATTGGGCCCGTGCTGTGACGCAGCAGCCCGGGGAAACCCGAGGCCGGAGTGGCTTGTGGCAGGAGCTCGACCCCAACCGGAAGAAGGCCACAAACTGGCGGTTTGCCGAAGTGATGCATATTCCTGATGTCGCGTGCGATCGCTGCCAGATTCTCATTCCAGTTGGCACTATCAACTGCTTTCAATGCGGCCAGTTGATGGAACGGATGCCGGACATCAAGAAGATTGCCAGGGTGGTCCGGTTGCAGGAGATGGCCAACACATTGGGCGTGCCGTTGTCCATGGACCAGGTTGAGACTCAGATCTTGACGCAGCGAAAGGATGCGCGGGGGCATAGAAGCGCAAGAGGGGGCCTCGGCATCATGAAGGATATTGCCAAGAAAGCAGTTCTTCGCAACAAGGAGTACACCACGCTCTACGAGAGGCTGATCAATGACCCCTTTTACGCCTACACTGCCGCGCGGGGAGACCTGACGCCGTCCGCCCTCGAGTTCATCGAGAAAGTGGCACGATGCATCATTCCGAATTTCGTGAGAACCAAGGAAATGATCCAAGGAAGCGTGGCTGTGCCGAAATATCACGCACGGCTAACGCTGGTGCCGCCTACGGAGGAGGTGCAGGAGGTCGACCCGAAGGACGTCTACGTTGTGCATGGCGGCAGGTTTCTGGAACCAGAACAATTTGCTGCACTTTACGGAAGCCTTGACAAGAGCAACCGCTACAGCGTGATGGGCTGGACCCGGGATTTCTCGTCTGTGGGAGACCCCGAAATGGTTTTGGTGGAGTTGCTCTGCTTCGTCGAAGAGGAGATCCCCAACATCGAGATCCCTGGGCGGGCCACCCCGCTCCCTGCAGTTGTCGGTGTGACGCGCAAGCCCATTCCGCAGCTCCGGGAGACCGGTGGCCAATGGCAGGATCGTCAATGGAGCCAGTCGTACTGGGGAAGTTGGGGCCAGTCCTGGGACTCGTGGTGGTCTGATGATCAGCGCCCGTGGAAGAGCTCCCGCAATTGGGATTGGCGATGAATGAGCGATCTCTTCGACAATATTTTCTATCTTCGGCTGACATCCATTTACATTTCAAATTCAATTTCCATTATACTTCTCAATCATGTTGGCCGAGGATCAATGTACAGTGCACGAGCACGCCTCGCGAGAGCGACGGTCAGTGGAGGCGGAAGACCTTAGCTACCGATCGCTCAAATCCAAGTGCTTGTGTGCTGCAAAATGACATCATGCCTATCGGGTTTCTTTGGTTGTCTCATCCCTTTCATTTGTCCTCCTGTTTCACATTCGGGCACGGGGGGTGTAGTTTGCAACGTGATGTATTTATCAACCATGTAAACCCCAATGCATGCATGTCTCACTTGTGCAGTCTCATCATTACGACTGCACGTGGCTCAAGGAAAAAGCGCGCTGAGTACAGGGTTCAATTGTGACCCTTCCCGGTTGTTTAACCTGTTCTATACCATGCCTCCCCTGCCTCTTAGTTTTAGCACCTCGCACCACCTAGGCTTGTATGGGCCCATCACCCCCTTTTCGAGACCATCATCCCGATTTGACTTACTGCGCTGTGATGGTTTAAGCTGTGTGAGGGCAGGGCTTGAGCCAAACAGCAGCCGGAGAGATCGAGTTAACGCAGGCAAAGCCTGAAGAAACCACCCTGTTGGAACCTGATAAACTCGAGGTTGACTTCCTAACCCAGCTGTGGCATGTACTGCATTGCCGTATGACTTCATGGGTCGACAGCTGCGCGCCAATCGTCACAACCTATCTCAGTAACTCCACTGTTCATCCAGACACGCCTAATCGAATGTCCAGGGCCCGAATCTGCTCATCGCTTGCACGAAATGAGCGAACCGCTTCTTCTTTGAAACTGGTACTTAATTTGGTCCTGCGGTGGTTCGCCTCCATGAGAGCGAAAACCAAGCCTCCGGACATGCTGCTTTCACGCATCGGTGTCGGCATCGCATTCTAGCCTTGCCCATGCTCCCTGCATTTGCTCGGAAATGTGTCCCACCTCCGGTCAATTCCTTTCCACCCGCAACCTCGACTTGGGGATGGAACATATTTCAAGTTTAGAAAGCATCCCATGCTTTGGCTAATGGTGCATGTTTGAGGCTCAATGCCGGTGCTGTGAAGCTTCTGTCGCATGGACATTTGTGTTTCTTTCCGTGGTTGCATTCCAAGCAATGCAAACACTGCAATTTTGAGCACTTTTTTTGGTGCTGACACTGTTTCAGAGATGGAGCCAGAAATGGGAGTGCCACCAGGCGGATCCCCTTCAGGCGTGCGACAGGTCACGTTCCGCAACGTTCACTTGGAACTTGTTTCACCCGAGGTGATGTGGCCCCCGTTTTCCGCGGACAAGAGCCGAAGGAGCCTCGGGGCTGTTTTGGACGCTGCCTTCGCCGTGCGAAGGCGTGGCAATTACTCGTCAGGTTGCTCTGCTTTTCGCCTTTACGAATGGCACATTGCGAATGCAGTGCGACGCGTACAGGGGAGACCAGTGAAGCTGCCAGAGACGCCTTTGATTTTGGCGGGCGCATTTGGCGGACCGTGTGGCCCTCAAAGGTGCTTTGATACCGGGATCTGTTTGTAGCGTGCATGTTTGTGATTAGTTACACCAGTGCGCAACGCTGTTTGCAGGCAGTTTGTGAACTAAGGTTTGGCATTTTCTTGTTCACGCCACTGAGAAATGCCCTCACCTTGGCAAGCCAAAATCCTGACGGAAGCGCCCTTGCAGCCCGGCAGCATCCGCGACTGCTCCAAGATTTGCATGCTTCCGTGTTTTGGTGGCACACCTCGTCACCGAGGACTTGTATGCGGGAGTTTTTGCAGGAGGCTTTGCTGCTGGGTGGACTGGAGGCAGAGAGCCGCTGTTTTTCTGCTGAGAATGATGAGGCGGTTGTCAGCATGCCAGGTTTTGCCTGCGTTCCTCCGAGCTGTCCGCAGTTCATTGTCATGGGTCCGCTGTTCCACTTCTTGAAGGCGGGGCTTGCCTGGCCGGGCGAGAGGGCCTTTAGCCAAGCAACTCGCACGAGGACCTTTTGCAGTCGGCGCCACTGGCCGTGATCTGCAGCTCGCTGGCCGAGACGACGATTTCCTTTGCTTCCCAAACAATCAATGCTTCCGCCTCAGCCAACCTTATCGAACTGCTCGTGCGTCAGTGTTGCTGAGGCCCAGATGGCCTTCAATGCTGACCAGGAGTTACTGGGCTTGGATGGCAAGGCCAGTCCGCCGTGCCAGCCAGCCGGTGGCTCTCCGCCACAAACTCGAAACATGTTGCAACGGCCTTTTCCTGCATGTACAACGTTTGCTACTCTTATGCGACCCTAATGCTTCGGCACAAGGGAATGGATACGTCTCTTCCCCAAGCCTGTGCGTAGCTTAGCCCACATGTAGTTGCCGAACTACCCTTGCTTGGACCCTCTTGCCAACAGTTTTGAATGAAACTTCACGTGGTCGGACACCTCGCGGAACGTGCACGCGGCTTCCACTAACAAGCTTTTCGACCCACCTTTTCGGATCTACATGCAAGGCCTCCGAGGCAATGATTTTTGTTCAAGTGGCGGGAGTCTCCAAGGTGCCCACTAGCAAATGCCAATGCGCCCACTGGCAAAGCAGGAACATGCTGAGACACGTGCAGGTTGAGCTTTGGAATCCCTTTCTGCCGTTTGGTCCGGGGTCCTCAGTTCATGTTTTACGAAGCTTGGCTGCAATCAGACTCGAGCAAATGGCCTCAAAAATTGACGCGCGGCCGAGGAAACATAGTGGCCCTGAGCGGCTTGCGGCTGTTTTCTACACCATGCCAGGTTCCTCATTCCTGGAGCGCGATTGTGATTTGCGGAAAGTACTCCAAGAGCTGTGCTAGCCAGACTTTTCGATGTTGCCAGGCTGGCTTGGGCAAGGTTGCCCAGGCAGCCGGGCTTCATTTGCCTGAAGGCGCGCAAAAGCCAGAGCCCTAGCCCTCAAAGGCTTCGGACTTGTGCAATCAGTGTTTTTTGTTTGGCAGTTGGGCTCCAAGAATCCTGAAGCTGCGTAAAGATTCAGGTTCCTCGGCGACTTTTTGGCATCTATGGGCGCGGCTGTTGGTAGCTCAGTTGTCGTTGTTGCTCGTGGTTTACTCAAGGCTGTCATGCTAAGATTCTGAGTGCTCCCTTGAACCAGCTCTTCAATTTTGCGGTCCGCGCGTCAGACTCTGTTTTGCAGCATTGTGGCATGCATATGGGGTGTGAAAGTGCCTCCAGGTGACGTCAAATGAATTCGCGGGTGCCAGCTTCGTTCAGAAGCTTGCCCTATGCAAAATCTTCCTTGCGAAATCATACTTGATCTATGCAGATGGCCGCCTGGTACGCCCTCCCACGCTTTGCACAAGGCGTAGATCAGACAAGTAACTGTCTTAAACGTCGTGAATGTTCTTAGCCAGGTTGGCATTTCGCCAACACTGATCCGCGACCTCTTCATGCGGTGTGCGGGCGCCTAGATCCAGCTTTGGGTTGACAACTGGCCGGACAAGTGGACAAGCAGTGCGCATTTCTGCATTGCGAATGGAAAAGTAGACGTCACATCACATACGGACACACGCGCATTACATCTATATGGTACGCGCCTCCCCCCCTGCCCGGGGCACCTTTACGGGATCTTCGACAAACATGAGCTCCCAAGCGCGTGGGGTCTCACAAGCTTATGCCGATCCCAGCCCGGAACCCCTGCGAGTGTTGGAAAGAAAGATGTCGCATGCGTTGCGCAACAATCGCTGTCGTGAAGGTAGGTGGGGACCTTGTGAGCCTCATCCACTAACCCATTGCGTTTCATTTCAGCAGCGGAGCCAGAGGTCAGGCTTGCTCCCGACAACAGCCCCGACTTCCGACAGTAAGAGCGCCGGCGTGGCATCATGACAGCGAGCTCTCATCCCCTCAGCATCTTCTCAGCCAAGCAGGAGGAGGCCTTCGCCAACTACCGCTCGGCGACGACGGGCCAAGATCCATTCAGCCGACTATCCTGCTGGAAGTTCCGTCTCATGCGCCACCGCCCGCCGATTCGCGGAGGTTTTGGCGGACGAGAAGCAAAGGGCGAGAAGGGCGCCATGGACGGTTTTGAAAAGTTGGCAGGAGAAGTTGGGTTTCGAAGAAGTGTCCTAAAGGTTAAAGTTGGCGGGTGAAGCAGCACTCGAAAAGCTGACAGGAGTGGTTGGCAGGTGAAGCAAGTCTCAAAAAGTTTGCAGGAAAAGTTGGCCGGAGAAGTTGGCAGGTGAAGTTTGCAGCTTGAAGAAGAACCCTTCGCATGCTTCTGGGAAAAACGCAAACAGCCTGCGCTGGGGGAGGGGGGGCAGGGACAGGTTAGCGTGTCTTGTGCAAACAGCGTGGCTGGTTGGGCAGGGTCTTTGCACAGCTGCAAACATTTGCGTGTCTTGCGTACCAGTAGCCACGGCTTGAGTCTCAGGGCCTCAGCTCCGTCCTTTGCATGTGAGCCTCAGCCCACGCATAGAATATGCTTGTTATTTTTTACACACATATAGACATAAAAAGATACAGCGCATCAGGAAAATAATGCAAGAAACAAATCTGGGGAATGATGCTTGGGTTGAGACAAGCGGTAATGTTTTGCAACTGCAAACATGCGGTAGGTAGTTCGGGGGCCAAAAAGCACCCCGAGTTGTTTTACTTTCCTAGCATGTTCACGCGCAACCCAGAGACTCCTATCCCAAACAACTTTTTTTCTGTGTTAGGGGTTCAAGAACACATGGTATTGGTTGGTTTGCCGTCCAGGCAAGAACCAAAACCAACCAGCATACTTACGGCTCGAGGAAACAAAAAACAATTGACCTAGACATGTGTGTTTTGTGTTTTCCCTCGTGGTGTTCTGGTTTTCTATATTTGCCCGCTTCGGTCGCGAGGCTGTTCTTCGCCAAACGAAGTTTCGGCTTTTATTCTTCAAGCAATAACGGAAAATTGCAGTTTGCAAAATTCTCGGGGGTGCGCAGTTTGGATGGAGGCTGACTATATGCCTGCATGTGTGTATAGACTCACATCACGCGCGCCGAACACATGCAAGGTGGTTTTTGGTTTTGGGCAGCGCCGTTTCAGGTGCATACATAGCGAACCTCTACGCCTTGTTTGGCCTCTTCGAACGTCTGGCCGTTGCACTCTGGCGGCGGCGCAAGGTGGGGCAAAGGCCAGGCACGCGTGCTTTAGTCATGGACCGTGCGTTGTTTGCGTGTTCTTGATCCGAACCTTGCAGGTGATCTGGGAAAGCAAAGCGGGCGCAAATGATTGGCTGCGCAGCTGAAAAAAGTCTGAGGGCTGGCGGGGACAGCAAGTGGACCGTGTTCACCTTGTTAAGCATTGGTGCCAATCGGAGAGCCCAACGCACCATGCTCCGACGAAGTTACGTCCGCGAATAAACTAGGCACTTCAAGGCAAGAAGTCACGCTGAATCATGCATGCTTGCCGTCCGCTTGGAAGTACAGTGTGTTGATTTCCCTCAGTGAATTACGTGTGTCGGCGTCAGCCCAGCATGGTTTACATGATGCTTTCAACATGTTCAGCGGTCACTGACAAGCCCACATGCTGGTTTCAACCTGTGAGCTAGTGGCATAAGAGCCGCATGCTGGTACCTTGCTTGGCTTCCGCGCGCGCCAGAAAGGCGAACTCCGTGAGTCACATGCAGGCCAATAGTAGTTCCGTGTCGCGAGGGCAGCAGGCTTAGCTCAGACACAGTCTCCCAGAACCAGCAGTTGTTTCAGCATCGATGCATTGCCACGGCCATGTCAACGTGCTCAGCGTCCTGCCATGGGCTTTGCGGTGGGGAAGGTTTGTGGTGTCCTGCCGCACGCGTTGCGCCTGCGCAAGCTCCTAGACGGACATGCCACGGAGGAGTTCTATGTAGTGCCACGAAGCCAAGTTCCGCAAAGTGTTTTTGCAAACCTCGACAGTGTGGGGCTGGTTTTCCGGTTCCAGGTAAGCAATGAGCCGTGCGGAGAAGAAGCTGCAGGTGAAGCAAGGGCTTCCTCAATTCAGCCCGTGGAACCATGTGGCGCAGCTGGCGCTGCTGATGCTGAACATGCAGGCAATCAAGGAGAAGCTGCGGACGGCCAAGGAAGCCGAGAAGGACAAGATGGACAGTCGGCAAAGTTTCCCCCGCCCCTTCCTCACATCACTGGGCTCACAACAACCAATGACTGGCAGCAAGTGGTTCGACACGGGGCTTTGGCAGTGAAGGAATGCCTCCAGTCACTTGGAAATATGTTGGACGTGGCAAGGTTGGGTGCTGATGGTGGCAGGGTGTGCGATGTTTTGTTTTGCTGCGCTGCTGGTGCGCATGTCCTGTTGGACTGTCAGGCATGGTGGGCGCACTTCGGAAAACAGCTTTTTCCCTTGACTGTCGCAGAAGCGCAAGGAGCCTTGGTGCTCACACTCCGCCTCTTGGCCGGCTGTTTGTCTGACCTGGATGCGTGTGGTGCAGCTGTTCGGAACAGAGTCAGGGGCGTTTTGCAGTTTTGCCAAGAGACGTTCCAGCAGCAGTCATGGCCTCCCGAGTTGATGGCCGCTTGGAGGCGTGTGTGCCAGTTCCAGTTAGGCAGCCTGAGGCCAAGACCCGCAATTGGCGAAGCTGCCGACAAGCGCACGAGGACGCCGCAGAAGTTGTGCTCTGCGCCGGGATGTGGTGGCAAGAGCTGCCGCTTGATGCTGAAGGCTGATGCGCAGGGTCCAGCTCAGTGGCGTTGCAAAGCCCACAGGGAAAAGCTCCTGTGCAATGTGCCGGGGTGTGCGCGACACAAGGTCAGCAGAGTTCACCAAGCTGATGTTTATGGTCTGGCTGGGCACCGCTGCTGCGTTCACGGGGCCAGACGCTGCAGTATTGCTAGCTGCTTCCGCTTTGCGTACTTCAGAGCCCACAGGGCTGATGAGTTTGGTCCGCCTGGCGCTCGCTGCCGTGCTCACTGCGCAAAATCCTGCAACGTGCGCGGCTGCGACAGAGTTCCAATCGGAGTCTGCAAGGCAGATCACCTAGGACAAGCTGGGAGTCGTTGCTCTTTTCATGGGTGGGGTTGCAGGGTGCTTGGTTGCACAAAAGCTCCCTGGGGGAAGGCCGGCGCAGATGACCTGGGCCCAGCAGGCCGCGCCTGCTGGGTTCACGGGGGCAGATCCTGCTCTGTGTCAGGCTGCATGGGCCGGCCCTTGTATTTTCGCCCAGCCGACGGGCTGGGCCCTGCGGGCACCCGCTGCAAACAACATGGAAAGATGGCACCTTGCTTCGGGCCGAAGAAGCAGCGCCTGATGCGGCGTTCTCGGCAACTGCTGCCAGTTTTGCCTGACAGTGAGAGGTGTTGCTATTCAGACGGCAGGAAATGGCGATGCGCGGGCCGCCGACATAGCGTGTCGACTTACTGCTTGCGGCACTTGACCCAATACCAGGACAGGCTGCGTTTGCTGCAGGAGCGAAAAGCTAAGAGACGTGTGCAGTTGCAAGGCGCGGATTGGAAAACGTAGCGCGTCATGCTGCGGTTGGTGGACTTTATCCTTGACGGAGTTTCTTCTGACAGTGGCAGTGACTTCATTTCCGCCATCATTTTCTTGGTTTATGACGTTTGTGATCTTTGTTCGGGGCATTGGTTGGAACTTGTCTGCTAATTGTAAACGCTTCGCGTTGCCCGCCTCGGCCCCAGTGTTGGGAAGGTCCGAATCCTACTGAAAGCTTGTGACCGCACCAGTTCGCCCGTGCTAGTTCGATGTTCGGAAGCCGTCCTGCTCGGAAGGTTTGAAATCCAAAACCAAGACTATCTCAGCTGGTCAGTGCCCTTGGGAAAAAAAGGACCTCTTTCTGGGGATGAGCATTTTTAGTGGGGCTTGGCCTCCATAAAAAGGGGAACAATAATTGGTGTCACTGAACAACCAAGACCAACTTTGGGACAAGGATGTCGGGCTTCACTTAAGACCCAGCAAGATCCTTTCAAGACCCTGACAGTAGATAACCCCGGAAATCGAAAAAAAACACAGGGTCCAGACTTGCGCTCATGCCCCCTGCATTTCCCCATCACATCCCTTTCAATTCATCTGCGTTCCCTTCACAATTCTCACGAAGACGGTGGACAAGGATGTCGAAAAACACTGTCTTTTGCAATGCTTGCAGCAAAGGGAGGTAACAAAACACATTTTTCTCGATGCTGTCAGCGAAAGGAAGCGCACAACCCGAGCCAGTAGAGAGGCGGCAGGGGGCTGGAAGGTGAAAAGCACCGTGTTGTGCGATGTTTTCAGCAAAAGGAAGTAACAAAACACCGTGTTTTTTCGATGCTGCCAGCAAAAGGAAGCGCAAAACCCGAGCCAGCAGAGAGGCGGCGATGGGATTCGAGCCTGGGACCCATGTTTCGCCCGCGTCGCGTAAAAGCGGCAGCAGACTGCCGCGCGGTACGCGAGCGTGTGCCGTTGTATTTCCCCTGCGCCGAGAGGCCGGGCAGGCTGGGCTGGGCGTGCTGGCTAAGCGGTGGGCTGGGGGCCAAAGCGAAGGGGAGCTGCTTGCTCAGACTGGGGCTGGCCAGCTTGGGCTGCGCTGCTTGGGCAGCTGGAGTGAAGGGCTGGGGCACGTTGGGCCAATTGATGCCATGCGCCGGACCAGGCTGCTGGTTGGGGAAGGCCTGCGCCTGGGGCCTGGGCAGGGCGGGCTGGGCTCTAGGGCGGGTGGCTGGTTGGGCTGGCCCGAAGCTTGGGTGGGCTGGGCTGTGGCTTGCTCGCGCGGGTTGCTGGTTGGGCTGGGCCTAGACAAGTCAGACAAGCCGGCCTCGCCTGGTTGGGCTGGGCCACAGGCTAGTCTCAGACACATCAGATAAGCCTGCGCTGGGCCGGCAGAAGCAGTCTCGGGCAGCTTGGCTGGACCTTGCTTGCGTGGGTTGTTGGTTGAGCTGGGCCTGAAGCTAGTCTCAGCCACGAGGCTGCGAAGCCAGGTTGCGCCTGGAACTTCGGCTGGGCGGGCTGGGCTGAGCTGTGCTTGGGCGGGTCGCTGGATGGGCAAGGCCTGTCTCATACACACTTGAACCTGAGGCTGGGTAGCGAGTTGCTGGCTGGGCTGGGCCTGACGGCAGTCGCAGACACGTAAGACACGCCAGCAGGCGGGCTGAGGGACTGGGCCTGAGGCTAGTCTCAGGCTGGCATACCGAAGGGGCTGGGACACGAGCAGGAGGTCAAGGCCTGGTCAGCCTGGGCTGAGCTGCTTGGGGGGGCTGGGGCACGTCAGACAGAGTCTCAGACCTGAGGCTAGTCTCAGGCTGGCATACTTTGAGACCAGTCTCAGACGATGACTTGGAGACGCGATCAAGGCCTGTGGCCAGCCTGGGCTTGTTGGGCAGCCGGACTAGGGGCAGCCTAGTGGCTGGCATGCCCTCTGAGATGCGCCGGGCCTGGGCCTGAAGCAAGTCTTGAAGCCATGGGTGGGTTGCTGGCTGCCGGGCAGCCGGACTGCTGGTTGCGCCTGGAACTTGGGCTGGGGCGGGCTGGGCTGAGCTGTGCTTGGGCGGGTTGCTGGATGGGCAAGGCCTGAGGCTGGGTGGCCTGGCTGGGCTGGGCCTGAAACCAGTCGCAGACACGTAAGACACGCCAGCAGGCGGGCTGAGGGACTGGGCCTGAGGCGAGACCAGACGCGCAAGGCCTAGCCGCAGGCAGGCTTGGTAGCCTTGGCACGCTGGGCTGAGCCTGATGGCCTGGCAGCTGGGGGCCGGCCTAGTGGCTGGCATGCCCTGAGATGCGCCGGGGCCTGGGCTGGGCAGGCTGGGCTGGTGGGCTTGCTGGATGACTTGGGGCCGTGCTTGGGCGGGTTGCTGGTTGGGCTAGGCCTGTTTCAGACAAGCTTGGGCCTGAGGCTGGGTGGGCTGGGCTGACAGGCCTGGCCAGCAGGCGGGTTGCTGGTTGGGCTGGGCCTGAGCCTAGTCTCACATTTTTTTTAGTCGTCAGCACATTTTCGACAAAAGTCCCATGGGGCTGGACGCCGACGAACCCCGAAAATTTCAAGGCCCGCCGGACAGGATTTTGGGCCAGCCGAGATGGGTGGGGGGGGGGGTGGGGGGGGGGGGGTTGGGGAGGGAAAAGCGAAGATTCTCTTCGAATAATTCCTGGGTGTGCGTGTGTCTGGTGTGTGTGTGTGTGTGTGCCTGTGTGTGGGTGTGTGCGTGGGTGGGTGTGCGTGTGTGTGAGCGCGCGTGCGTGCCCGCGTGTGTGCTTGTGTGCGCGTGCTTGCATGCGTGCGGGCGGGCGGGCGGACGGTGAAGGGGACATGGCGAAATGATGGGAAATGGATAGA